GGGTCCATCTAGTCTGGATGGGAGTCACTTCTTGTATTAGAACCAGGTGATCTACAAAACAGGGGAGACAGCCTTTAAAATGCGTTATAAGGTTAATCTTTTATTGATTCATTCAGTTAAAAGATTGTGTAAAAGATTGTAAAAGAAAAAAAATAAGCAGGAGTACCTATTTGTGTCACACACAGTGTGATTTCCAAGTTGAACAAGTCATGGTTTCCTACACTCAGTGATAGCATACATAATAAAATTCAATGAAATAAGTGCCAATATAAAGGTAGTCACACAATGCAAAGGTCAGGGGTAAGAATATATCAACAAAACAGCAATCAAAGATGGCTTCCAAGAGGAAGCACTCCTTCCTGAGATTTAAAGGAGAAGTGGAAGGACAAGAGGGCAAGGGATTCCATGCAAGGGTGCACAGTTTATAAAGTCACAAAAGTGAAATACTTGACACCCATTTAGGGTAACTGACATATTCAAAGTGAGTGGAACAAATTAGGAACAGAAAGTCGCTGCCCTGGATTGTTTCTTCCCTCACTGAGACTTCTTTCTTATGGTCTTTGGTTGGATATGCCCTCTTTCCTTGACCAGTAAATGTGGAACCTTTCCAGTGTTGGGTCTCTCCTTAATTTTTAAACTTCTTATATGCAACATCTCCAACTCTGAACATCTCCAATTGGATATTAATTTAGAAATTATAAAACTAAATTTCTAATTTTCAGCCACAAATGTAGGTGTTTACCATCTGACTAAATGGTACCACCTTCCAAATCATTTTCCAGACAAGAAATATCACCATACCTTTCATGCCTTTCTTGCTCTCATATCACATATTGATATCTTTAACAAATCTTATTAGACCATTGAAATAGATCACAAAGTTGGTTATTTCCCTTCTCTCCCCACTTCTGGCCCACTGCACTAGACATCTGAATTTCATTCTGGCCTCCACCAATTCTTTTTATCCTAACACAGCCCAAGTGATCCTGTTTAAATCTGATACTGATCTGATCAGTCCACTGCTCACAACATCTTCAGTGGATTCTACTCACTCACTCACAATTTAATGAATCACATTTCATACTTACAGTAACAGAAACTATAATCCCCATTCCACAGTTGAACAAACTGAGATTCTGAATATCTATTTTTCCCAAGTTCACCCATTTTGAAGTGGCGAAACTAGAATTAGAACCCAATTGTGCTTTATCTCAAAGTGATCTAACTTTTACATAATGAAGGTACTCACACAATTGCAAAGCCTGGTTTCCACTATTTACTGTTAGTCTTACCTTAGGAAGACAAGTCCACAATCTGAAGGAACACTTTTTACTCATTCACAAGAACCTAGAATTCTTTTGTCATCCAGTTTGACAAGAGTGGACAGAAAGCTGCATTGTTATTTGAGGACATATTTTATTTCATTCAATTATCTGTCCATTCTCTCCGTGAAGTCTTCTGGTTATTCATAAGATTGCTTTTATTTATATAGTAGATTACTTCCTAAGAATTCTAGGTTCCACAGAGAAAAACAAAAATTTAGAACAAAAATTTTGGATGATTTATCAAAAAGACAAGGAAATCTATCCTTATATAAAAAGATAGCAACCAGACATTTCCAACGGAGATTTTTCTCGAGTAATTTCTTTCGTACTAATTTCTAAATAGGAAAATATCATTCAACTCTTTATTCATCTTTACTCTGTCCTTTTTCTTAGCTCGGATTGGCTGACCTGGTATTTTTAAGAAACATTTTTGTGTTTTTCATTAGATAATGTTTTAAACCTAAGAGAAACCTCCTCAAAAATGTGTACCAATTTTTAGGAGCATAGCATATTCTTCCCAATATGAGCAAAGAACACTGGGCATATTATCCCTTCTAACCATATTCCTCATTAGGCCTGGAATTGGAAAGTGTCCAAGACTGATTCTTCCTTAATTAAATTCACTGGGAATTTCCACAAAAACTTTTTAAAAATATCTCTATAAAAATACTAGGAGGCCAAATCACATAATTAGGGTCAGAAAGATGTAACATAAAAATATAGCTTTAGAACTATTGTAAGACTACTGCCAGTCAAGAATAAAATTTTAGCCCAGTCATACTGTGCTAGGGAAAAAATTTTTCATATATTTCCCCACTTGTCATAGTAAGTTTTTCTTTCCTTTCATTTAATAGTAAATTTATCCTGCCTTGAAGTGTGGTTAGATGTTCTAGATATATGTTTATATATAAAATAACTATTAAACTATTAATTTCTTTAATTTGGAGCTCCAATCTACTGCCAGAAACCATGCTATGAATGGGGACACAGTAACTAAAGAAATAGGAAAATTATGTAAAAGCTCCTTCATGCATGGACCTTATATTCTTATAATAGGGTCAGACAGTAAATAAGGGGACAATTTACTAAACTAAATATAGTCTTCACTATGGCTAATAACAGAGCAAACAAAGTATACTCAGGGAGATTACTGCTATGGAAAAGGTGACCAGGGAAGGCCTTTCTTTAAAGGTCATGTTAAAGCTGAGATGTAAAGCTAGTAGCTACCACCAGAAAAACTATTTTAGGTAGTAAAATTAAGTGAACATTCTAAGTAATGTGTTCTCACTTCACTGATGGCATGACCTATATGTAGAAAAGGCTAAAAATTTCATAGGGATTTTTATTCCAATGTTATTGTGAAATGGAGTGGTGAGCAGAGACACTCTTATCTTTTCCTTGATTATAGTGGAAAAGCTTTCAGCCTTTCCCCACTGAGTGTGATGTTAGTTGTGGCTCTGTCATATATTACCATTATTATTTTAAAGTACATTCCTTCCATAGCCAATTTGTTGAGAAGTTTTTTTTTAATCAAGAAAATATATTGAATTTCTGTGTGACCATTTAATAATCCATAGAGGATTAAGAAAACAATTTTTTTTACTAGAACATCAAAAAGAACAAAATACATAAGAATAAGCTTAAACAAGGACCCAAAATTCTTCTACACTGAAAAACTGCACAGTGTTGTTGAAAGATATTCTAGAAGACACAAATGAAAGGGAGGAAAGACACTCGTGAATTTATATGGTTCATGGTACTAAGTTGTAGTGTTAGCTAAATTGATCTACAGATTCAAAAAAATTCCTACTAAAATAAAAAAGAAATGTTTTTGCAGAAATAGAAAAATCTATCCTAAAATTCAGGTGGAAACTCAAGGCATGCCAACCAGCCAAATAACCCTGGGGTAACAAACAAACAATTGGAGGACTTCCTGGTTCTAAAAATAACTACAAAGGTATGGGAATCAAAAGGCAGACACAACAATGGAATAAAATACAGATCCTAGAAATAAACCTTTGCCTGTGCGTCCAAACATTCATTGGGAAAGGACAGATGATTCCAGAAATAGTACTGTGAAACTGGATATTCACATGCAAAAGAATGAAGGTCAACCCTTAATCACATACACCATACACAAAAATTGAATCAAAATGGATCAGAGACCTAAACTACCACCTAGAACTATGAAACTCTTAGAAGAAAACTTCATAACTGAATTTGATAATGATTTCTTGGGTAGGACACCAAAACCACAGACAAGAAAAGGAAAAAAAAAACATGAATTACACTTTATCACTTTTAAGAACTTTTGTACATCAAAACACACTATCAACAGAAAGAAAAGGCATCCCACAAATGAGAGAAGATATCTGAAATTGATTTATTTGATAATATGCTGGTAGCCAGAATACATAACAAACACACATCTCAAAAACACACATAAAAAGAAAAAAACACCCTGATTAAAAATGAGCAAAGGACTTCAATAGGCATTTCTCCAAAGAAGATATGTGATGCCATATAAGCACATGAAAAGATGCTCAATGTCACTAATCATTATTGAAATGCATTTCAAAACCATAATGTAATACTACTTCACACCCAACAGGAGAGTTATGATCACAAAATGTAAAAATTGTAACACACGTAAGACAGTGGAGAGATCAGAACAACTCTCCATTGCTGGTAGGAATGCACAATGATGTAGCTGCTATGGAAAATGCTATTGTACTTCCTGAAAAGATAAGCAAAAAAACATCATATGATCCACAACTCCACTTTGGGGTATATACACAAAATAATGGACATCACAGTCTCAAATAGGTATTTCTATACCCATTTTCATGGCAGTATTATTCATGATAGCCAGAAAGTAGAGGCAGCCAAAGTGTGTACAAAGTGTAATAAATGTATGAACACAATGAAGTGTATGCACACAATGGATTATTATTCACTCTTAAAAATGAAGGAAATTCTGACACATATTAAGACATTGATATCCTGCAATTCACTCAGCCAAGTGAAATGAGACAATCACAAAAAGACAAATATTGTATGATTCCATAAACACAGGAACTTAAAGTAGCCAAATAAGGAAATAAGAAAACAGAATGGTGGCTGCCTAAGGCCCAGAGAGAGGGATTGGGGAGTTAATGTTTAATGAGTGTAGAATTTCAGTTTGGGAAAATGAAAAGGCTCTGGAGGTGGGTGGTACTGGTGCTTGCATTATAAATGTCAATTAAATTAATTAACCATCATGACGATGTAAATTGACTCAATGTCACTAAACTATGCTCTTACAAATGGTTAAAACCATAAGTTGGAGTACCTGGTGTGGCAGAATAGTGGAGGACCCTAAATTCGCTTCACCCATGAAACACATCCATATAACCTTCAAATCATTCTGAATGCCCAAGAAATTGACCTGAGGACTGATAGAAGAAATTATACACAGCTGAAGGGAGAGAAGAAGCCATATAAAGGAAGGTAGGAAGTGTGAAGACATGTTTCATGCTGAAAATGATCCCAGGTGCTGCAGAGGGGAGGGAGTCCTGGTTGCAGGGAATGGTGAGAGAGAGCAGAGCACACAGGAATACACACAAGAAGAACACTTCCCCAAAGCCATTAGTAAGGAAAATGAGAGTGGCTGATTTTGGTAAGTTTTTGCAACCAATGGGCCTCAAACGCTGGAGTTTCAGAGGTCCCTGGGCTTGGCTAGGACAGGGATCTGAGTATGTTGGCCAACTCCTGGAGAAGAGGCAGGCAGGTAACCAGGCAAGACAGCACAATCTGAGGATCATCTCTCCCCATGAGCCTGCGACCGGTTCAAGGTAAGCCCGAGCTGTGAGCTCACTCCTCGGCTCCGTCTCTGTAGCCGGCTTCCCTGTTCTAATACCTGCGAGCTCTGCGACACTCAGACACCCCGATCCTTCTGTGACCCTGCCGGACCTGAGGCCACACAGGCCCCGCGTGGGCTTCACCCCAGTTAAGCCTCTGGAGCGATGTCCCTCAGCGGAACAGACTTTTAAAAGTCCCGATTTTGTGCTCCGTTGCTCCGCCGCTTGCCGGGAGCCGGCCCCTCCCCCCCGGGGTCTGTCTTCCCGTCCCTTTGGATTCACTTCTCCGCCAGTCCTACCTTTCAGAAAGTGGTTGATTTTCTGTTTCTAGAATTGCTGTTCTTCTTCTCTTCGATCTCCCGTTGGATTTGTAGGTGTTTGCAATCTTTAGATAAGCTATCTAGCTGATCTCCCGCTACCTGAAGTAGTCTCAGCCGCTACTTCTCCGCCATCTTGACTCCTCCAGGCCATTCTTTTTGAGAGCTAATGTCAGGAAGAAGCATCTCTCAGTGCTGGATATGTTGACTGGACTTTTGGGGATCCAGCCAGCTTCATGATAGTTTCTCCTTCATCCCCAGCCACAACTCCTTTCTTCTCTCTACCCAAGGAGGCCTGTGCATTATAGTACATGGCTATTCAAGGGCCTGCAGCACCCCAACATTGTGCGCTTCTATGACTTCTGGGAGTTCAGCGCCAGGGGGAAGAGGTGCATCGTGCTGGTGACTGAGCTGATGACCTCGGGGACACTGCAGACGTATCTGAAGCGGTTCAAGGTGATGAAGCCCAAGGTGCTCCGCAGCTGGTGCCGGCAGATCCTGAAGGGGCTGCTGTTCCTGCACACCAGGACGCCCCCCATCATCCACCGGGACCTCAAGTGTGACAACATCTTCATCACGGGGCCCACCGGCTCCGTGAAGATCGGCGACTTGGGCCTGGCCACGCTCAAGAGGGCGTCCTTCGCCAAGAGTGTGATCGGCACCCCTGAGTTTATGGCGCCCGAGATGTACGAGGAGCATTACGACGAGTCTGTGGACATCTACGCCTTTGGGATGTGCATGCTGGAGATGGCTACCTCGGAGTACCCCTACTCCGAGTGCCAGAACGCCGCCCAGATCTACCGGAAGGTCACCTGTGGCATCAAGCCTGCCAGCTTTGAGAAAGTGCATGATCCCGAAATCAAGGAGATTATTGGGGAGTGCATCTGCAAAAACAAGGAGGAAAGGTATGAGATCAAGGACTTGCTGAGCCACGCCTTCTTCGCGGAGGACACCGGTGTGAGGGTGGAGCTGGCGGAGGAGGACCACGGCAGGAAGCCTGCCATCGCCCTCCGGCTCTGGGTCGAGGACCCCAAGAAACTAAAGGGCAAGCCCAAGGACAACGGAGCCATAGAGTTCACCTTTGACCTGGAGAAGGAGAAGCCTGATGGTGTGGCGCAGGAGATGATCGAGTCAGGATTCTTCCACGAGAGTGATGTGAAGATTGTGGCCAAGTCCATCCGTGACCGTGTAGCGTTGATCCAGTGGCGGCGGGAGAGGATCTGGCCGGCCTTGCAGCCTCCCGAACAGCGAGACCCTGGCAGCCCTGACAAGGCCAGGGGCCCGCCCGCACCCCTGCAGGTCCAGGTGACCTACCATGCACAGGCTGGGCCCCCGGAGTCCGAGGAACCCGAGGCGGACCAGCACCTCCTCCCCAGCGTGCTGCCGGCCAGCGCCACCTCCCTGGCCTCGGACAGCACCTTCGACAGCGGCCAGGGCTCCACGGTGTACTCGGACTCTCAGAGCAGCCAACAGAGTGTGGTGCTGGGCTCGCTGGCGGACGCAGCACCGCCCCCCGTCCAGTGTGTGTGCAGCCCCCCCGTGAGTGTCAGCGTCAGTGATGGCCCTGTCCTGCCCTACAGCCTGCCCTCGCTGGGGACCTACCAGCAGCCTGCTGCGCCTGGCCTGCCAGTGGCCTCCATCCCACCCCCTGTCCACCCTCCGCTCCCACAGCAGCATTTCCCGGAGCCGGCCATGAGCTTTGTCCCCGTGCCAACGGGCCCAGGCCAGCCTGTGCCCCCTGGCCACCAGCCTCCCCCACTGGCCCAGCCGGCGCCCCTGCCGCCTGTCCTGGCCCCACCATCCGTGGGCCCTCTCCCGCCGGTGCCCCCCCACCTGCCTCCCTACCTAGCTCCGACGGCCCAGGTGGTGGCCCCCGCTCAGCTGAAGCCCCTCCAGATGCCAGCAGCATCTCTGCAGCCGCTATCTCAAGTGCCTGCTCAGGTGCCTCCGCTTCCTGTGGGGCCCCCCGTTGCGCCCCCCGTTGCGCCCCTGGCCTCCATCGACAGCCTCCCCGCAGCTCTCCCTGACCTGCCAGCCGCCAGCGGGCCCGCCGTGCCCGCCCCCTCGCAGTATTTCTCTCCCGCCGTCATCTTGCCCAGCCTCCCGCTCGGCGCGGCCGCTGCCCCCCTACCCGCGTCGCCAGCCCTGCCTCTGCAGGCCGTCAAGCTGCCCCACCCCGCTGGGGCGCCAGTGGCAGTGCCGTGCCGGACCATTGTGCCAAACGTGGCTGCCACTGCCACCGCCATCCCTCTGCTGGCCGTGGCCCCGCAGGGTGTGGCCGCCCTATCCATTCACCCTGCCGCCGTGGCCCAGCTCCCGGCCCAGCTCCCGGCCCAGCCCGTGTACCCGGCGGCCTTCCCGCAGATGGTGCCCAGCGACATCCCACCATCTCCCCTCCACGTGGCACAGACCGTGCGGGCCACCCCTCCACAGCCAGCGCCCCCCACCCTGCCACAGCCCCACCAGCCTGGCCTCGTCCGCCCTCCTGAGCAGGCTGCTCCGGCCAGTGGGGCGGGAAGCCAGATCCTACTTGGCCACCCACCTCCATATGCTGCTGATGTCACCGCCCAGGTCCCCATGGCGCCTGTGCCGGCCACTGTCCTCTCCCCACCTCTGCCAGAAGTGTTGCCGCCTGCTGTTCCTGAGTTGCCTCAGCTCCCCAGCTCCCTGGCCCCTGCAGTGGTGGTGGCATCTCAGAGCCTGCCCATCCAGACCGCCCCACTCCTGCCACCTGCTACCCAGCCACCGCCGCCCACCGGGCCCGGGCTTGCCAGCCCCTGCCCAGCTGTGCAGCTAACGGTGGAGCCAGCGCCAGAGGAGCAGGCCTCCCAGGACAAGCAGCCCGGCCCCCCGCAGAGCTGTGAGAGCTACGGAGGTTCTGATGTCACCTCTGGCAGAGAGATGAGTGACAGCTGTGAGGGTGCATTCGGCGGGGGGAGGCTGGAAGGCAAGGCTGCCCGGAAACATCACCGCCGGTCGACGCGCGCGCGCTCCCGCCAGGAGAGAGCCAGCCGCCCCCGGCTGACCATCCTGAACGTGTGCAACACGGGCGACAAGATGGTGGAGTGCCAGCTGGAGATACACAACCACAAGATGGTGACATTCAAGTTTGACCTGGACGGGGATGCGCCCGATGAGATCGCCACCTACATGGTGGAGCACGACTTCATCCTGCAGGCCGAGCGGGAGACGTTCATCGAACAGATGAAAGACGTCATGGACAAGGCGGAGGACATGCTCAGTGAGGACACGGACATTGACCGTGGCTCCGACCCGGGGATGAGCCCGCCGCACCTCAGCACCTGCGGACTGGGCACCGGGGAGGAGAGTCGCCAGTCCCAGGCAAACGCCCCTGTGTATCAGCAGAACGTCCTGCACACAGGGAAGAGGTGGTTTATCATCTGCCCAGTGGCTGAGCACCCAGCGGCGGAGGCCCCGGAATCCTCACCCCCCCTTCCTCCGAGCTCCGTGCAGCCAGCCAAGATCCAGCGCCCTGTAAAGACCAGCTGTCCTTAAAGGAAAAATCCAGCTTCCCATGAGATTATTTTTACTTTTTAGTGCACATCTTTGAGAGGTTGCATTGCCTTTGACAAAAGACTCTGCAGGCTCCATTTCCTTACTCCACCCATCAGCAAAGGCACAGAGACACCTGCTATTTGTGGCTACACTGGACGCTGGCTCTTTAGCCTGCATTTCTCCAAGTCCCATGCCCGTGCATTCTGTTACGATTGCCCTTCTGGATCAAACCTGCAAGAGTCCCAGCACAGTGACACCATCCTCCAGAAGACAAGTGAAGGTTCTCACTCCAGGTTCTAAAAGTTTAGAGTTTTATAAGATGGGAAAACTTGGCTGGGCTAGAGCCGAAGGTGAATTGTGCTGCTCAAGGCAGGCAAGCAACCTGGAGACAGTGTGAAATGAGATCTAGAAAATACTGGGACACATGAGGGAAAATTATTTGCTCTTTTTAATGTGCTTTTGTGAGAGCAGCAAGCATGCACTCCCCTCTCTGGGGACAAAAGCTTGCTAGTGCCATTTCCCTCCCCCACCTCTTAGCATAGACCAGCTTCAGTAAATAGCACATTGCCCTCACTGGCTGCCTAAACTGCTTACACCAAGTCTCCCTCCTCTGTACTTGCTAGTAATACTTTTCCTGGATAAGTGTACCTAAGGACTAGTGCAGCAGGTCCCTTCCCCAGAAGACCACCAGAAACCCCTGCATTCACCATGTCTACTGACCACAGAGTTCTTCAAAGCTTCACTTATAGTGGAAATATGATCAGGTCTCCTTTAACAAGCAGACCAGATCTTATCTAGTTAAAACTAGCCACACTTTGACCAAGGACCAAACAGCCCCCTCTGCAGGCAAATAGAACCTTTACATACAACTGACCTGAGAAACAGAGCAGCCAAAACACAGTAGCAGAGTACATGCAGCACACATCAAAAACACTTCCTGAGGCACTAGACCTTGGCCATTATTTGACCTCTTCTACTTAAAGGCATTACTCTCAGGAACAGGAAACATAACAGACTTTCTTAACACAGAGAAGAAGCAGGACCTAGTCAAAATACCAAGATGGGGAAATTCATCCCAAAAGAAGGAACAAGAAAAGATCACAACCAGGGATCTAATCAAAACAGATGTAAGTAATAGGCCTGATGCAGACTTTAAAGCAATAATCATAAGTATACTAACTGGGCTTGGAGAAAAGCATAGGAGACATCAGGGAGACCCTTACCACAGAGATAAAAGAACTAATTAACCATCCGGCTGAAATGGAAAATGCAGTAACTGAGATTCACAACAGACTGCATGTAATGCCCACAAGAATGGAAGAAGCAGAGACATGAATAAATGATATAGAAGACAGAATAATGGAAGATAACGAAACAATAAAAGAAAGAAAAAGAAAAATGCTTGGATCATGAGCAGAGACAAGGAATTCAGAGACTCCATCAAACATAGCATTCATATCATATGAGTCCCAAAAGAAGAAGAGAAAGAAAGGTAACAGAAGGTTTATTTGAGAAGATTATGGCTGAAAAGTTCCCGAATCTAGAGAATGAAACAGACAGCCAAAGTCAGAAGACACAAAGAACCTCCATCTAAACAAAAGCAGGCCAACACCAAGATATTGCAGTTATATTTGAAATATATTGAGATAAAGAATAACCCTAAAAGCAATGAGACAAAAGAAGTCCCTAACTGACAATTGGAGGGGCAATAAGGTTAACAGCAGTGCTCTCCACAGAAAGTTGGCAAGACAGAAGAGAGAGAAATGATATATTCACCATGCTGAATGGGGAAAATCTGCAGCCACAAATACTCTATCCAGCAAGGTAATCATTCAAAACAGAAGAAGAGATAGTTTCCCAAACAAACACCAAAGCAGTTAGTGACCACTAAACCAGCATGTGAGAAATATTAAAGGAGACACTTTGACTGGGAAAGAAAGACCAAAAGAGACAAAAACTAGAGAAACGAAGAAATTCCATAAACAATGACAAAATAAGAAATAAAACAGCATAATACACACATATCAAAAATTACTCTGAAAGTAAATGAAGTAAATGCTCCAAAAAAGACACAAGGTGTCAGATGGATTAAAAACAAAATAAAACAAACAAACAAAAACCCATAAGACCCATGTATATACTGTTTACAAGAGACTCATCTTAGACCAAAAGACACCTCCAGATTCAAAGTGAAGAGCAGAGAACTATTTACATACTAATGGACATCAAAAGAAAGCTAAATTAGCCATCCTTATATCAGATAAATAGATTTTAAACCAAAGACTGTAACAAGACAACAACGACACTACACCATACTAAAGGGGTGCATCCAACAAGAAGATGTAATGATTCTAAATATTTATGCCTCCAACTTAGGAACAGCCAAATATGTAAACAAATTAATAACAAAATTAAATAACTCATTGATGATAATACAGTAATAGCAGGGGAATTTAGCACCCCATTCACAGCAAAGGACAGATCATCTAAGCAGAAGATCAACAAGGAAACAAAGGGGCCTTGAATGACACACTGGACCAGATGGATATCACAGATATATTCAGAGCATTCCATCTTAAAGCAGAAGAATACACATTCTTCCAAGTGAATATGCATCATTCTCCTCAATAAATCACACACTGGGCCACAAATCAGGCCTCAACTGATACAATAAGACTGAGGTCATACAATGCATATTTTCAGACCACAATGCTAGAAAACTAGAAGTCAATCACAAGAAGAAATTTGGGAAGACCACAAATACATGGAGGTCAAAGAGCATCCTACTGAAGAACAAATAAGACAACTAGGAAATTAAAGAAGAATTAAACAAATACATGGAAGCAAATGAAACTGAAAACACAACAGTTCAAAACCTTTGGAATGCAACAAAGGTGGTCCTAACAGGGAAGTATGTAGCATGCAGGCCTTCTACAAGGAGCAAGAGAAGTCTCAAATACACAACATAACCTCACAGCTAAAAGAACTAGAAACAACAGCAAATAAAGCTTACAGCCAGCAGAAGAGAAATAATAAAGATTAGAGGAGAAATCAATGATACAGAAATTAAAAAAAAAAAAAAGAAGAAGAAGAAGAACAGTGTTTGCTAAGGCCCAAAGAGAAGGAATATGAAATCAATGTCTAATGAATGTGGAATTTCACTTTGGGAAGATGAAAAAGCTCTGGTGACAGATGGTGCTGGTGTCTGCATTATAAATGTCAAATAACTTACTTAATCATCATATCAATGTGAATTGATTCAATGCCACTGAAACTTTGCAAATACAAATGATTAAAACTTCAATTTTTGTTATTTGGATTTTACTACAAGTTAAAAACTACATTTAAAAACTAAGTTGAGGGGCACCTGGGTGGCTCAGTGTGTTAAGCCTCTGCCTTTGGCTCATGTCATAATCCCAGGGTCTTGGGATCAAGCCCCACATCGGGCTCTCTGCTCGGCAGGAGGCCTGCTTCTCCCTCTCTCTTCCTGTCTCTGTGCCTACTTGTGATCTCTGTCTGTCAAATAAGTAAATAAATACAATCTTTAAAAAAATAAAAAATAAAAATAAATAAAAATAAAAACTAAGTTCATTTCATTAATAGGTGCAAGCTGTCAGCATAAACTATAGCGCCATGGCTAGAGTATTTCATATATCATTGGCTTTACACATACACCTGTATAAAAAGTAGGTATGTCATCTAATAACAAAACTGGTAAATTAAAATCTCCAGATCTGTGTCTTGACAATCTGCTTTGTACAAGAACTCTAACTAATACTCCCAGCACACTGAACTTTGACCTGGATAATACATAAACCGAAATAGGCTATTTGTATCATGGTAAATGATTTCCTCCCTGGACCTTTCCTCAAAGTGCCTATATGTCATAATAAACATACTTCGGACAAATAGTGATCATGGGCCTCTGTACCAATTATCTTCTTTTCTCTATTCTATTTAATATACAAATTTATTTTAAAGAGTGGTGGATATCTCTCAAAGTTACCTTTTCTACCCCAGAACTTCCACATGACATTTTAACCTCCAAATTTCTGAGTGTGCAAGTTTAAGTTTAACAAGGGAATTACCATGCTATACAACACAGTCACAGCTTGATCAGTGGAGAAGGTGGTGATTGGGTGCAAATATACAAATATTCAGGATGCAGTATTATAACCACCACACTGACGTGAGAGACACAGGTGGACACAGCTTTGTGTCTCCCCTCCAAACTATAGGTCCTCCATGAGCCTGTGATAACCAACTAGGAGACAATCAAGAGGAAATTTTTCACAGGCAGATGAACGCACTTTTGACAGCAACAGAGACACCAAGGGTATGAATGCTCATGCAGATGAGTTTCAGCCAAAGATTTATGTCATGCACAGATGGTCTATGACAGTGAAGCCACACACAGGCAGCCACACTGTGAAGAGGACCTGAATGGTTGCAAGGACAAAGCCTCTAGTACATGTCACCTGAAAGAGGAAGCCATATCCCTGCCACTCTTTATGATTTCATTGTACAGGAGTTTGCAGATGGCTACATGGATGCTCAGCAAAGAATTCAGTCACAAACTTCCCGAAAGAGATGGTTTTTCTTACAACAAAGGTGCCAAACAGCATTTTAAGGGTCATGGATGAAGAACAGCAGATATATAGAAGGGATGAGTTACACAGGAAGAAAATGGAAGCAGTACCCCAGGTCATGAAAGATGACTTGTTGAATGAAAAGACCCACTCATGGATAACAGTTCTTATTACTAGAAATCTTCCTAAATTAGGGGTGTCTGGGTACCTCAGTCAGTTAAACGTCTGCCTTCAGCTCAGGTCGTGATCCCAGGGTCCTGGAACTGAGCCCCACATCAGGTTCCCTGCTCAGTGGAGAGTCATCTTTTCCCTCTCTGTCTGCCCCTCCCCACACGCTCTCTCTCTCTCTCTCCCTCCCTCTCTCCCTCAAAATAAATAAACCTTAAAAAAAAAAACCTCTTCCTAAATGAATCCTAAAGTGCATCTCCTAAAAC